CATCTGGGAGCAGGATGGGCAGGCAGGGCTGGGGCTGGGATTGGAATTGTAGTGGGGTGGCAGGGTGGGACTGCAGCCCAGGGCACGGTTGTGATCTGCTCCCTTCATGACCCTGCCCACAGAACTAGTACCTGTTGCAGGGACACGTAGGTAGCAGATTGTTGCTCTGCCCCAGGCCCTGACCCTGTGTTGACACTGGCCCACAATCCTGATCCCAGCCCTGGCCCTGCCTACCCATCCTGCTCCATAGAGACCCCACCTGCCTGCTTCATCCAGTGCTCCCAGCAGTAGGTACAGGGTGGATGGTCCAGGGTGCCCAGGCAGCAGGGCCATCCCTAGGGGTGTGTGGGCCCCAGGATATATCAGCCTGTGCAGGGCCGGGGGGTGGCGAGTAGGGTGTGGATGGTGAGCGACCAGAGCACAGAGCCAGCAGCGTGCGGCAGCCACGGCGGAGCTGACAATGCATGGCAGCCACAGCGGGGCCTGCATGGCAGTATCCGTGGGGCCCAGGGCGGTTGTCCTGATTTGACCCCACAGGGATGGCCCTGGGTGGCGGCAGTCGAGACTGGCAGTGGCAGCTGGAAGGAGCTGTTGCTGCAGGGGCTGCTAGGGAGCAAGTGTGGTCACCATGCTGCCTGGGCACATGTCACAGCCCAGACTGCCCCCTGCTTCTGGGCTGGGAAGGGCTGAGGGAACCACTGTGGGCTGGATAAAATCGCTTGGCAGACTGGATCTGCCCCTCAGGCAGTGTTTTGCCCACCCCTGTTATGGGCTATAATGAGCCAACAGCATGCCCTTGTTGCAAAAATTGCCAATAACATAATAAGCTATATTAATAGGAGTACCACCTGCACTGGTAAGGCCTCACCTGGAGTACTCTTTTCAGTTTTGAGCTCCACATTTAAAAAAAGGCGCAGACAAATTAGAAATAGTCCCAAAGTGATTAGAGCTCTGGGAAACATGAGTTTATGAGGAAAGGTTAAAAGAACTGGGATTTAGCCTGGAGAAAAGACTGATGGGGATCTGAGAACAGTTTTCAACTATCTGGAGAGTGGTTATACACAGACTATTCTCTGTCATCACAGGGGACAGGACAAGGAATAATTGTCTTAAATTTCAGCATGGGAAACTGAGGTTGGATATTAGAAAGAACAGACTACCTAAAGAGGTTATGGAATCTCCATCCTTGGAAATTTTTAGGAGAAGGTTGGACAGACACTTGTCCAGGTTGGTTTAGAAAGGGAGGATCCTGCCTTGAATAGGCTTTTGGATGAGGTCCTGAGGTCCCTTTAGCCCTACATTTCTATGTATTTTTATGATTCTAGCTATTAAAAATGCTAAAAGGTGATACTTATTTAATTATAAAGATTCTTTTCCTATTCCTCCAACTTCTTATTTCAGTGACAAATATTGCAATGTTTTTTCTTTAGAAAACATGAATTCATCTCTGACTTTTGTAACACTGAGTGGAGAATTAAAGGCTAAACAAGAAAAAGATCATATTGTCCTGGACTTACCTCTTTATTCAACCTACCCACAGGTCAGACCATGTTGTATATTTGTATGTTGCTTTCAAGAAACATGCCTCTGCTGCTGATGAATCTTGTTTGCTTGTTCTAGGAGTTTCAGGAAGTAGAAGAGCTAGTAAAGGTAATTTTTGGTACATTTATGTTATTGTTCAAGCTAATTTTTCAATGGCTATAAATATTTTCTCATGGTTAAATGAGTGAAAAATGACTGTAATAGTGCACAATGTCTCCATATGAAATTATGTTCTTGTGTGTGCAGATATCTAAATACAGAAATTCAGGGAATGAATGTATTTTCCAACCTAGCAGTTTCTCTGGTTGTGGCATTTTCTCTGGTTTCAACTCCAGCCCTTCTTTATTGAATAGCAGTCTTTCAGTGCCAGCTTTTGGTCTAGTATAACCACATAGGCTGCTTACAGACATGGGAAAAAAAAACTACAAATGGCACTTTACGTTCAGTTTGGTGCATCCCTGCACCTAGCACAGCACATGCCCTGAAGAGACATCATATTAGTTTGACCTGGCTCTCCCAATGTCTGTATCCATAGCAAATGTATCTGTGTCATCCTGGCGAGAAGTGTGTAGCGGTGTCCCACAAGGGTCGGTGCTTGGTCCAGTACTTTTCAACATCTGTATTAACGATTTGGATGTGGGGGTAAAGAGCTCACTAGCCAAGTTCACAGACAACACCAAGTTATGGAGAAGCGTGGTCACACTTGAAGATAGGCTACAGATACAGGCAGAACTAGACAAGCTAGCAAATTGGGTGGATCAGAATCTAATGAAGTTTAATGTCAAGAAATTTAAAGTGCTCCACCTGGGACTAGCAGCCCCCAACACATCTACAGGCTTGGCAGCACCAAACTGACTAGCACCACAAATGAAAGAGGCCTGGGGGTAACAAGAGATCACAGTATGAATAGGAGCCGGCAATGTGATGCTGTAGCCAGTAGGGCAAATAATACTCTGGCATGCATCATTTGATGCATCTCCAGCAAAACAAAGGAGGTGATTCTCTTGCTCTACTTAGCACTGGTGAGACTGCAGCTGGAGTACTGCATCCAGTTCTGGGCACCACACTTTAACAAGGACATGGAGAAGCTTGAGAGAGTCCAAAGAAGAGCCACCTGTATAATTAGTCTTATATGGCAAGCCATATGAGGAAAGGCTGAGGGATCTAGGACTCTTCAGCCTGAAGAAAAGAAGGCTGAGAGGGGGCCTGGTAGCAGCTTACTGCTACACTAGAGAAGTACACCGAGGGCTTGGTGAGCAACTGTTCACCAGGGCACCTGAAGAGAGAACTAGGAGTAATTGCCACAAACTCCTGGAAGACCGATTCAGGCTCAACATTAGGAAAAACTTCTTCACAGTGAGGGTGCCCAGACTGGAATAATCTCCCTACAGAGGTGGTGCAATCACCTACCCTGGAAATCTTCAAGAGGAGACTAGACAGTCACTGTGTTGGGGTCACCTGACCCACAGTTATCTTTCCTGCTTGGTGCAGGGTGCTGGATCTGATGATCTTCCAAGGTCCCTTCTGGCCTTACAATCTATGACTCTAGATCAGGTGAATCAGCAAGGCTTTTTTCACTTTTACTGAATCAGCTAAAATTAGATAAAAGAGCCAAAAAGCCCCACTGAAGCACCTGATCTATACAGACACTGGGGAGCTGGTCAAACTAATGAACTTCCTTTTCTAGTAAAGCATTTTTTTCATGTCTGTCAGAAGCCATAATAAGGACCAATCTAGTGTACTTTCTCTCACCCCATTCCCAGAGTTACGTTTCATGCTGGTACATAAGAGTTGGCATGCAGCATCCCTAGCTGTAATTCAGCCATCAGTCTGGATGCAGAGGCCCTCCATGTATCCATTTTGCCTGTATTGCCCTTGTATTCATGTACCCTGGAATTGTATGAAAGGCCTTGCCTGAGCTCTCTGACAGTAGTTGAATTTGCCTTTAAAAAATGACAGGGAAAAAAAATCACATACTCTAGTGATCTTTAACTGTTCTGTTTGGTTTATCTAACATTCTTTTACCAGACAGCAGTAGGTCATATGGTTGTTCAAGACCTTCGCTATTCTCCTGACACAAAAAAACTCCTAGTCCGTCTCAGCGATACTTACGAAAGGTAAATGATGCCATCTGACACAAGTGTTCTTGTATAAATGTATGAATTGTTTATTCAGCAGTACTCATGTACAGATCCTTTTTATATGTTTGTCTTTGAAACATGGGGATATTAAAAAATGCTTCATCTCCATATTCTGTAAGTATATGTCTCTGGACTGTTATAATTTTGAATCTGTCAAGCTAAGCACGATCAAGCATTCTCTGCACTTGAGTTGAATACCTCCCCAAAAGACAAACTGAATGATAAGAAGAAGTTTTAGTGATGAAACAGATGATTTTCTGGATCCAGTTTGAAGAGTCTTTGTTTCTGGAGGTATTGGTTTTTTAAATAAGCTATAAAACCAAAGCCTTTAAATATCTCACAGTGTATGTTACCATTCTGCCTGGGTATACATTCTACCCATACAGAATATGTTGGGGGATTTGTGGCTATCTATGCTTATGCATTCGTAAATAATAACTTCATGGAACAACGTTCATCAGGAAAAATTCCAAAGTGCTTTTCAATCTCAGAGGTTATTATTTTACTGTTAGTATCAATTTGGCACTTTTCAGCACTTATATTAATACTGATTATTTAAATATACTATGTTTATTTGATTAAAGGTCTGTCTTGGAGAAATTGAAAGTGAATGCCCAAGATCTTGTGCCAGCTGAGAAGACAGGAAAGGTGAAAGGGTTAATACTGACGCTTAAGGGAAGTTTGAGTGAAAAACATAAAAATTACGACTTTTATTCCCGATACTTTGCACCATGGAATGGAGTTCTGGAAGATCCTGTTACAGGTGTGTTCATATGTGTACATGGGATTGATTCATGGCTCAGTTCAGGTGAAGAGCTCTCATTATAAACTTACACTGCATAACTATATTTGCATCATTGAAATTTTTCATGTTCTTTTGGAGTTACCCTTGTAAGACTGCAGGAATTAGCTCAGTAAGCTGGAAACTTTTGCAGTTGATATCTGACCCATTAAAAAATGTCCAGGTTTCTGCTGTCATCAGGCCAGATATTTCTGCTTGTTTTTCAGATCCTGTAAGTACAGAATTCCCATTAAGAGGAGGAAGGGCAGAGGCTATTAAACTAATATATTCACATGCATTTCTCCTGAAGTATTCATTACTTTATTAATGGTACAGGTGCCTTATGATTTTTTTGTGACAACTTAATTTTTTACCAGTATGAAGGTCTTTTATTGTTGATACTCTCACCTACATACATATTGTAAATGCTACTAAGAAAACAAGTGTATAGAGGTTGGGGTGATGAGAATTTAAATGGCTGCTTTGATCGTTCTCACTGGGTATGATGGTGAGTCACTGTGAAGAGCAGTGAGCTCAGTCTCCCTCTGCAGCTTCTCTTGGAGCGCTCTAGTCTCAAACTTGTATGGCAGCTACCTCAGAACTTCTTGACTCAGCGCTACTTCTGATTCAGTTGGCAGATTCAATGTATTGGCAGAACTGTTTTACATTAATTTGCTTCTGATGTTTTACTGGGATTGCTTGAGATCACTACTTATGGGTCACTAGAAATGGACAATATGGACAGTCACTCTAAAAAGAAAGAACAGGTATACAAATCATTGTTTATGATGTGTTGTCTGCTGGTATTCCATGACATGTTCTCCTTGTCTTCTACTATAGCATGCAATATAAACTTTGTCCCGTTCCCACAAAGGAACTGAAAGGTAGTTACAGCCACTGCATTTTTTGTCCTTGATTACAGGATACTAAAGGGCATACAAGGAACAGAGTTCCAAAGTTCTTATTCTTTTTTTATTCCATGTTTATTATAACTCGAGATATTTGTATTGTCCATCTTCATTTCAATTTTTTTAAAATCTTGCTGAGCTCTTGCTACAGTAAAGTTTTCTAGCTAGCACTGTATCTGCTCAGGAAATAAACTTGCTTGAGATTGCCAATTAGGTGCCTCCTTGCCAGCCCTGAAAAGACAGAAGTCTTGTTGAGGGGCAGGTGACCTCACTGTAAAGATATTTTCTCTTCCTTCATGGTTTTACATCTAGAAAAAGAGAGCTGAAGAATTTTAATTATGAGCATTGTCCTTTTCAATGAAAGACATCTCAATGTCGGATTAATTATTTTAGCCGTGTAAATGTCTTATATTGTGTGCTACCCTGTAATGACTTCATAACTGCACTACATGTCCTTATGACCACGTGACTTGATTATTATGATTACTTTACATGAGGAACAAAGCACAAGACTAAGCAGCATGCTTACCTGTGAAACGGAGCAGTCATGATGACAATGTTTCAAAGTGTCTTGGTTTTTTAATATTAGCTGCCTTTTAAGGTGATCCTATTAATTTTTTAGGTCCTCGGTGAGCGTTCTGAAAACTTATTGTGTCACATCCTGGTGTGGGTATCTTTTCAGTGACACCACTTACTTTTAAGTCAGAGGTTGGCAACCCCCGGCACATGTGCCAAGCATGGCACGCAAGGCCATTTTGCTCAGCACACCACCGCCAGCCCAGGCTCTAAGTAGCTGTTGCCAGCCACAGAGCCCAAGCTGTTCCCAGCAGGCGGCTGTGAGACTGCAAGCCCTGCTGCAAGCAGACCAGGCTCCTTGGGCTGGCTGCAGCCGGGAGGCTGCAAACAGCTGCTCTGAGCTCTGCATGTTGGCACTCCCGCACCTTCCAAGGTAGACATTGTGGGGGTTTTTCGGCACTCCAGCTAAAAAATGTTGCCTACCCCTTTAAGTGGTTCCTCCAGTCATGTACAAAACTATCAGGCAATTGAGTTTTTGTCATAACAGCCATGGGGTATAGAATTTTTTCTTTCTGGATGCTAATTTCAATCCACCTACTTCTACTTCTAAATTGCATCTAAAAACCTTGTTTTCAAGATTCTTTTTTTATAATTGTGTATGTCTTCTATAGCAACATGATTCCATTTGTTTAGATTGCTAATATTGTGATCTTTTGTTATTTTATTATAGTGTATTATATTTGTTGGCCAGCACTGATGTGCATTGGTCAAAGGATATAAATTTGTTATTTGTGGCTTTATTATATAAAGTCTTTATTTAGACAAAGCTCCCATTGAAGTCTGAGGAAAGACCTAATAAAACATTAAGAATTTTCCTTGTTGATGGTAGACTTAACCTTACTAACAGAAGTGTTATTGTGACTATTTCCCAAGCTCTTAAATATTTATATTCCAAATGCAACTTATGTAGTAATTGATTTGTTTAATAATTGTGTACATTTTAATTTGTGATAGCTGTATAACAAGAGTTACCTTTAATGCAGTGTTATCTGATATCTTTTCATTTCTTTTAAGGATCTGCCCATGCTGTTTTAGGCAGCTACTGGTCACAGCACCTTGGTAAAACTGAAATGCTTGGTAAGACCTGTTTTTTTAAAAAAAAAATACCCTTTAATCAAAAATAAATTGTATAGGCAAAGTATAAGCTGCCACAGTAAAAGTGCCCAATTTTACTTCCTTTACTCACTCCAGACAAAAAGATCTAGCCATGTCATTAGTAGTAACATATTACAACCTGACTAGAATTTACCAGTTCAGGCAATCACCCAATCTTTGTTTCCTATGCAGAAGAGACAAGAATCAGGCTATTTCTACCACAACATCTTCCTAGATGGACTAGATTATGTATTTGGGAATTATATAAATTAGCACATGTTCTTCTTCCTCAAGGAATTAGATTCCTCTTGATCAGAAGTAAAGTAGCATCTAAAGGCTTTAATAGACATATGGTACTAGGTGAGATATGTAGACCAAGTACATGGAGTTCCAGTCATACATTACCAAACAGTGCTTTTTGGACTTAGCATCTAGAGCAGATATGCTCATTTTTGTATAATAATTCTCCAGTCTTGGTATCATTAGGACTGTGCCTTCTTTCCTGGATAGGAGTACAGGCAGTCCTCCAACTTACAACACAATTGGTTCCTGAAAACCGCGTCTTAAGTCGAAACATTGTAACTCGGAACCAATTTTCTCATAAGAAACAATGTTAGGAATTGGGGATTGGTTCCTGAACCAAGGCCTGATACCCTATTTTCACTAAAAATACCCCAGAATTTTGTAATCGGTCAATTATAGATGAGTAATATAGCTTCGTTAACGTATTTATATTGTAAATAGCAATCACTGATTTGGAAAGACTTCTTTGAGGTGACTTTGCTGGACTTTGTGAAAAGCTCTTGGTTGGAGTTTTTGAAGGGTTCTTGGCTGGAGTCTTCTTAGGAGTCTTGGCTGCAGGTTTTTCTGGAGTCTTGTCTGCTTTCTTAAAGAAAGTGTCCAAGGAAGTTTGGACAGATATTCTCCAGGGAGATAAGTGACGCAGTGAACTTGTTCGCTGGTGTGGTGTCGCATTGGATCAGCCTTGTAAAGTAAAAACTGACATCATAAAGTTGAAACAGGGTGTCAATTTATAAATGTTGTAAGTGCGAAACGTAACTTGAAATGTTCTAAGTCGAGGACTGTCTGTACTGTTAATTTATCCTATGAATGGGAATAAGCAAAGGATACTTACAAAAAGGAGTAGGGCGAGTCCTGACAAGTGCACACATGCAGTTTGTGGCACCTCAAACCCCATGCGGCACATGTGCACTCATTTGCTGCACTGCTCATTTGTACTGCTGCAGTTTTTTTTTTGACACTGGGAAATCCTGGTATCAAAAAACAAAAAAATGCTGCTAAAAAAAGCTGTATGGTGCACGTGGCAGCAGTGTGCACTGCCCATGGGTGGCTGGTGCCTCCTGAGTCGGGGGGGCACTTGCCCCCCCAGCAGCCAGTCAGCAACTGCGGGGAGTGGGGGCGGGTCCCTCCATGGTTGATTGCGCCGACTTGGAAGTGCCAGCGGTGTGCCCGGAAGTGCCAGTGGTGCTTCTCTTGGTGCCCCTACTCCCCAGCCGGCACACTCAGAGAGGGCACCAGTACTTCTGCCTGCCCTCCCCCCACCCCTGCCTAAGCAGGGAGTGCTGGCTGTCAGGGGGTGCACCAGTGCTCTCAGGGGGTGCATATGCACCCCCGTGCACCCCCTATGTGTCACCACTGGCACTGCCAGAAACTGCTGCCCTGGGAGTCCCCCAGGACCCTAGGTAAAGCTGCTGGGGCCAGCACAGGTGCTGGCCTCAGCCTCCCTTACCTCACCTGGGTCAATTTGCTGCACACCAGATTGTGTGTGCAGGGGAGTGACTTGGGACAAATAGCAGCAGTAGAAATGCACCCATAGAGTATAGTCAACTATAATGGGAGTTCTTGAGATGGACTGTCAAGTCACACTTCCCATCCACCTTCCCCTCTCCTTTGGAGTCCAAATTAATTTTAAGGGCTTGGAGATGCATAGGAAATACTGAGGAAGGTATTATGCCACATCTCATTTTATAGTCTTGTCCACAGAATATTTCAAAATGTTGAGAGGAAGGTTAGGAGGGACACAGGAGGGCTTTAGTGGGCACTGCTACTTTGAATTGTAACACTTGTACTGCACAGGTTGATGAGCCCAGGAGTGTGAATATATGGAACCTGAGTCAAAGAACTCTGGTTACAGGCGAGTCACCTCCAGTTTTTCTTCGTAGGAAACTTTAGGCTAGTTCACAGGTGCTCAACCCTCTAGCCTGTGGAGCCGTGGCATCCAGCCCACTGGGCTCCCCACAGGTCCAGAAATTTGGTGCCAGTGGAGTAGTGGCAGCTGGGGAAGTGTAGGGTCCAGTCTGGGAACATTTGGCCTGGCCAAGGTTGTGTGGAGTCTGATTTGGGTATATGCAGCCAGGCCAAGGTGGTGAGGGGCCTGATCTAGGTACACATGGCTGGGCTGAGGTAGTATGTGGCCTGATCCAGGTGTGTGGGGCCCAACTTTGTGCATTGACTCTGGCCTGTGTATTGGCTTTATACCACTCATCCAGTCCAGGGGGCCAAAAGGGTGAACATGACTGAATAAGGTAATTTTTTTGTTTGTTTAGTTCGGTATGGTTTTAGCACATTCTGTATGAATCCATATTGATTATTGAAGTAAATCGTTGGTTTACGGAACTGGTTATAGTATATACTTTTTCATGTGAATGGTAATCACCTAACCAGTTAAAATTTAGTTCTAGCTGGCAGTTTTGACAGGTCTTCAGTGGGTGCATCTACATGAAATATTTACTGCGCAGTAACTTGTTACTACTGCGCAGTAGCATTGCCGAGCATGAACTGGGACGCGACACTACTGTGCAATACTAATGAGCTACTGCACATTAAGCATCACTAGGCAACTCTGCTGTGACATTACTGCACAGTTATGCTGGTTATTGTGCAGTCATTTAGTACTTAGTTATGCAAGTACTAAATGACTGGAGAGTAACAGCTGTGCAGTGGGTGGCTTGTGTAGACAAGCCTATTGTCATTTAAGTGCCACGTTGCTGCATTTAAAGATGCAAAGGCTTTGTCTAGACAAGTGGGGAAAGAAAACCTTTCATTTCTTTTACAGATGCATCTCTCTCCCTTCTTGCCTTCTTATGTTTTTGATTCCATTTGGTTGAACACATTTGTTTCATATAATAAGCATTTTTGTTTCCAATCTCAAATAGAGGGGTTTATACAAAAGTACCATAGGCCTGGGCATTATTATAAATTGTGAAGGAAAGCTCCTAACCCCTCCCCTCTTTAAGATTAGAGTGAGGTTTGGGAAGTTTTGGTGTGGGCATTGCCCCTGTCACCTTTTGGGATGTTGAGAGATTTTTTTCTCAAACTCCCAGACCTGCACTAGAGATATTAATGCTGTTCCTAGATGTGTCACTTTACTTTAAGTTGTGACCTAGTTAAACCACATTCCAGGTATCTTGTCTTCCTACATTGTCCAGGACAAAAGATTTGATAGTCTCAGTTTTGATAGTTAAATTACAAAACCCATTATTCATTATTTGTGTTAACAATTAGCATTCTTGTTAGTTTCAGCAGAAAAGCAAGGGCTAACCTGGTATAGGTCTGGACCTATTTTTCCCCCCATAAAGGTGATCCATTCAGAGTGGCAGTGATGCACAGTGATTAAGCTGTGTTTGCAATGCTGCTGCTTGTGTTGTACCTATTCTGTAGATAAAGAGGCCTTAAGTTTCAAGAACTTTTTTATGAATAACAAATTTATTTTAAAATAATAGATAACCAAAATATTGACAAAAATCCATACTCTTTTGTTTCTTTTTTAGCTTGTCAGTGTTCTCACCGTGGAGGGGAAATGAAGATATCACTACAGAGTGATGGAAGGGTTGACATCACTGGTCAAGTAGTTATTGTCTTAACAGGCAATTTGACATTCTGAAGGGAATCAGCACTAACAGCTCCATCTGTCTGAGCTTCAAATTATTCAAATGGTATCTGGTTATATTTTGGTCTTAAAGTGCAACTCATCATCACTGTCTTGTGGAACCCTTAATTCTTAATTGTTTCCTCCCCACTTCAGAGATTACTTGAAAATTGTCATTCAGGTTTTCAGGGTGTTCAGTGGATTTCTCTTGATCCTCCCGTATCCTTCTAAACTAAATGATTCTTTTTTGTTTCTTTTAAATCCCAGATTTTTTCTTGCCTTGTGCCTTTCTGCAGGTATAGAGTCTTTTCTCACACTGTCCAGTAACAGTCTTCTTGTATTCCAACTCCTGTGATCTCCTTTTTATGTTCAGACCCATCTTAAAAGCTATTTCTGGTCTCTTTCACTCGCTCATAAAATAATTAAGTCCTTTCTTCATGTTCAGTCTCTCTTCCTGAAGTCTGACTATTGTTCCTCTTTTTTCCTTTTCCCTGCATCCTGTCTTCAATAATTTACTTGATTTAAAATGCGAAAACTAATTGTATGTGAAATCCTCTTTCTTTCTTCTCTTTTTAATTATGCTTTTCAAGAATGAATTATATTGAAGAAGCTCGTAACATTAAATCTTGATATGAAATTTTTGGTTGAAGAACACAGATGGCTACACTAAGCTACTTCTATTAAATGCTTCAAAATCTGAAGCTTTCCTCCTAGTTCAGAAGTCCTTTCTGCAATGTCCTCTCTGTGCAACATTATCTCTAATCTTATGTCAGCTATTTTCTTGAGTCTTTACTTTGCTGCTGTTTTGGTGTTCTCTCAATTCATCATTTAGGAATAGAAGACTCTTTCAGTTGTCATGGCCAGTTTATCTACCACTCTTTCTTCCTCTTTCCAAGTCACCTTTTTTCTAAATTTTGCTTTAAGTCTTTCATTTTTTTCTTTTATTTTGTAATCATCTCTCAGAGTGTACAGCATTTTTAATTCAAAGGTATTGTCATCCTGCATGATCAGTTGGCAGTAATTTACATGGCTTATATATAGTGCAGAGATTGGCTGGCTATACTTAAGGTGAACTCCAGTACTGTCATTACTTCGTGATTTTCATCTTGATAATCTCCAAAGCACCTGGAGATGAGTAAAGATGTACAAATTTCAGATTTCATTTTAAAAAGTAAGTTTCTCACCCTCATAGTTGCATATAGAATATTGATAATGTGACTTGAATATCTTAAAGGCTCACAGCCAGAAGGTAAACAAAAGGAACCTCCAATTAAAAATAAAATAAAAAATCTCACATGTGCTTTGAGCCTGGCTTATGAATTTTGAATATTTGAAGTTTTAGTACTGAAACTCAAACATGAGGGAGGGCACTGGAGTCAGCCTAGGAGGAGCATGTCTTGCAGCAAATTGAAAATAACCTGCCCACTTTTGGAGATGCACTGCTCACTCAAGACCCCTGGTAGACCAGCAAATGTAGGCATCTTGCTTTGCTTCATTCCCCATTGCAGGCAGGTTACTCAGGGAGTGAGAGTGACCCACAATCTAATCTGAGAAATGTTTTTAGAAAAACTCCTTTAGAATGTTGATGCATAAAAAAGCAATTATTGTTCACCTGTCCAGATTTAACAAATAGACAGTACAGCTTTCTCCCCCAAGGGGACTAATAATCAACAAAGCCCAATAACTTTTAAATGTGCCTGCTATCTAAATCTTCCTGACCAAACCAATATACTTGCTGCTTAATGCAGTTTTTTTGTAGTTTATTTTTTCTTAGTCTCCATTTCTGTTCAGTATAGAAAAATCATCAGAGCTCAGGTGGGAGACTCTGCAGTAATGTGTTTGTAATCAACAGATTAGTTAATCAGCTATGATTTATTAATGATGAATTAATTATACCTGATTGTGCAGTTCTGCTGGCTAAATGGAGCTTTAAAGGGGTTATTTTATTAATCATCACTGTGCTAATTGCAGACACTTACAGGAGGATCACTAATTAAACATGCAACCATATGCAAAACAAGCTAGGCTGCTGAGTGCGGCAAGAATAAGAACACTCATTTTCTGACTAACAAACTTTATTTTCCATGAAATATTATGTAGTTGACCTGGTGATGCTAATTACTCACCAAGAATTATTTTAATATGTTACACATTTTCAGTCAGCAAAAAAAGGAAATTGATCTTTAAACCAAATTCCATAGGCATTCTGTCTCAGCCAAATTTTATTTAGCTTTCCTGGTGCAAAAGCTGTAAGCTGTGTGAACAATCCAAAAATAAATTGTTTACAGTTTGTGTGAGATTTTTCACATTTCCATGGGAAAGAAGTTTTATTATTAACTATGCAAATGGAAGATAATTTTTAGAAACAATTGTCATAACCTGCAGCAAGGTACTGAATATCACTTTTTATATGTAGTAGAGTGACTGCAATACATTGTAAAACTAAGGCATTAATAGATTTTAAATATAAAGTATAAATGAGTGTTTAAAACAGAAAACAAATGATGTGAACCTTGGTTAAAAAAGGAAATACTGGAAAAATGTGTATCAGAAGGTTTCTAGAACAGGGGTTGGCAGCCTATGGTTTGTGGACTGGATCTGGCCTGTGGAGTCATTTGATCTGGCCTTCAGATGTGGAGCTTTGGCACTGTCATTTTTCCCTGCAACCGTGGGAAGACTGTGGGTGATCTCGCTGTGCTGCCATGGGGAAAAGTGATGCTAGTCCTAGCACCTACCTTCACCCTCCTGCATCTTATCCAAACTGGGTCAGTCTGGCATGCAGCCTTAAAGGTTGCTGCTGTTCTAGAACATTAGAAAGGAAACGGGAAATATGTAGCAGTAGATCATATGGAGCACATTATAACTGCATCTTCTTCTCAACGTGAATAAATTCCACTTCAATCAGTTTGATTAAAATTAAATGGTTGACTTTAACCATTTGATCTTCAGGATGTACATTTCATCTTGCGGAGTATATTGTGCCCTTAAAATATTAATAATAATATCTGAATGCTACAGTGTTTTGGTGTAGATAATTTCCTTACCATTAATTTCCCCTAAACTCTTGTTTTATTCAGATGGTTGTCTTCCTTACTAAGTAAATGGCAACTGACTTCAAAAGCAATGGCATTACCCAGTATAACCTGCAAAATGACCAAAATTAATCAAAATAAAAGTGGTGTTTATATTAATTTTAGTACAAAAAGCTTAATTTTTGAGGTTCTGATTAAATGATACATTGGCTCAAATTATCCAGTTATTGGATTAAATGCAAATCCCAAAGCAGACCCAGTTCTGGGCTGTTTTTGACTTCCTTATGGTGTTCAGCTCACATACTACTACTTGAGAAAAGCTCCTGTCACTGCTCTCTGGTATAGAGAAGTTCTGAGGCTAGTACAGGGCTGGTGGATCCTGTCTATGCTGTGTACTTTATAGAGATGTGCCAAAGGAATAGCTTTGGGTCAGCAGGAGCAAGGGAATGGAGATATGTCTGAACTGTCTTGCACTCTGATATTCTGGACCACAGTAGTGTTCCATAAGGGACCAGTCAAAGCCAGCATAAATTAGAGTAAGTTCTAGGTTAGACCAGAATTCAGGAGATACAAATGTGATTTAAGAACAGCTCAGAATAGCATGCAAATGACAAATTTAAAGGAAGCAAAGTAAAAAACTAAAAACAGCCAAACAAACACAAAAATCCTAACACACAAACCCATAGGTTTATTGCTATAGGAAATGCGACGGCATAGCAAAAGGAAGCAACAAAATTACAACAGAAGTCAAGATCACATAAGATAAACAATTTAAACATTAACATGCTTGTGAAAGTCCATTGTTGTTGTTCTTTTTTCCTGTGGAGAAGCAACAGAAAACATGCTTAAAAAATTTAAGACTACAGTTGAAAAGGCAAACTGCAAAAGATGGAAATAACCAATAAAAAACATTGCAAATCTCTGGTTGGCAACAGGTTATTGAGAAAAATTGTGTGCGGTGTGAGGGATGGTTAGGGAAACTTAGCAACAGATGAGGAAGATACTGCTGGGAAACTAAAAGATTTCTTTGTCTCAGTGTTCATCAGAGTGTCAGGGAAACATGCCAGAAACAGAGGAACGCTTCCCAGGGGTTGAAAATGGATATTGAATGAAAATTAAGCGCAACAGGAAAGCAGCTAAAAATTCATTTAGTTTAGTTAAAAAGATTCTCTGGGATTGGGAATTTCTGGATTCCTTTTTGCAGCAGACAAGTTTGGCTTTTAATTTATTCCTAGACTTTTAAAGCAAAAGTTTAAGCAAAACATTATTTTCAGTCTTCCTGAGTTTTTCTTTCTTTTCCTAATATTTTTTCTTATAAAAACATAAGTGGCTAGTTTCACAAGAATTCAGAAAGTGGAAAAAAAAGGAATGGGAAAATATATCTTTGGATGTTAGAGAGGCTTGATAGGGAATATTGGCTGAATGGTTGTAGGAGAAGCTGAACTTTTTGCTTCTGCTAATATCAACTGACTGGAAACAGTTATTCAACAGTTATCCTGACATCGGATAGGATCGTATAGAACGATATTTCCAAGTTCTTGTTATATAGAGACTTGATTAAACATTGTTAATTGCCTTACAAATTTACAGAAAAGTCCTCCCCTAGTTTTGTCTTCATGATCTGTTTGGTAAAAGGTGAAAAGGTATCCCATTTATATGCCATTGAGATCCCAGGCTTTGCTGTTTCTGTAACCTCAGCATGAGGAGGAGGTGATGTGGTCAGCATTGTGTTCCAGCTATATTTTACCCCTATGTAGCGCCTAGTAGCCATTGGCTAGGAGGCCAGGTGGACCTGGAAGTTGAAATGATGAGGGGAAATCCATCACCTTCAACTGGGATTGAATCCAGGTCCTTTCAGTCCAGAGTGAGTTACCCTAATGACTGAGCTACACAGCTCCTATGAGGTGTTGGGTAGGCACATGAAATATTTTATGCTTTCTAAGTTTCCCTGGTTCAGTTGTGACATTAAATTAATTTTTTTTCCATTTGAATAATTAAAGTCCTGGTCTGAATGATGGATCAAATAAATTAAGCAAATCCAAGGCAGGGTTCAGGGATAGCTAGACCAGTGGGATTTGGGGGAGAAAAAAATGAGAAGACTGGTATAACTAGGCCAATGGGAAGGTGTGGGTCTCAGGGGGACACAAGTGGAGGCTCCGGGGCACCCTCCCGCAGTGGGACCTGAGGCAGGGCTGACCCACTCGAAGAGAGAAATGAAAAGCCCTGAAAATGGAGTGTACTTAATGTTTTCAGAAAGAAAGGAGCTGTGCTGAGACAAACCGCCTGTGCAGTTCGTCAGTCACTTGTGTTGCTGGCTGGGAGCGGCACCAGCTGATGACATCAAAAACTGCCCGGTTATTTTAAAAGCCGGTGGCAAAAGAATGGGGGGGAGAGCAGCAATACCGGAGCCAGGAGTCATGGCTGCTTCCCAGGCTACACACGGGCTGTGTCGGCAGCCCAACAAGAAGCTGGATGGAGACCCACAGGAGGGGTCCCAGCTCATATAAAAGAGGCATCTCGGTTCAGCTGGATCAAAGAGGATGGCATTGAGGGATCCTGAGGACCACAGGCACTGGACCTGTGAGCGGGGTGGGCTGAAGCCCCAATTATTTTTTTCCTTTTTTGTGTGTTTTTTTGTGCTGTTGTTTTAGAAGGTGTATAGT